AAGAAGATAAAACAATTGTAAATATTTATGCACCCAACATAGGAGCACCTCAATACATAAGGCAAATACTAACAACCATAAAAGGGGAAATCGACGGTAACACAATCATAGTAGGGGACTTTAACACCCCACTTTCACCAATGGACACATCATCCAAAATGAAAATAAATAAGGAAACAAACTTTAAATGATACATTACACAGAATGTACTTAATTGATATTTACGGACATTCTATCCAAAAACAACAGAATACACATTCTTCTCAAGTGCTCATGGAACATTCTCCAGGATAGATCATATCTTGGGTCACAAATCAAGCCTCAGTAAATTTAAGAAAATTGAAATCTTATCAAGTATCTTTTCCGACCACAACGCCATGAGACTAGTATCAATTATAGGAAAAACTGTGTAAGAAACACAAACACATGGAGGCTAAATAACACCCTACTTAATAACCAAGAGATCGCTGAAGAAATCAAAGAGGAAATAAAAAAATACCTAGAATCAAATAACACTGAAAACACGACGACCCAAAAGCTATGGGATGCAGCAAAAGCAGTTCTAAGAGGGAAGTTTATAGCAATACAATCCTACCTTAAGAAACAAGAAACATCTCAAATAAACAACCTAACCTTACACCTAAAGCAGTTAGAGAAAGAAGAACAAAAAACCCCAAAATTAGCCGAAGGAAACGATAGTAAAGATCAATAAAACTAAAAGCTGGTGTGTTGAGAAGATAAACAAAATTGATAAACCATTAGCCAGACTCATCAAGAAAAAAGGGAGAAGACTCAAATCAGTAGAATTAGAAATGGAAAAGGAGAAGTAACAACTGACACTGCAGAAATACAAAGCAACATGCAACTATATGTCAATAAAATGGGCAACCTGGAAGAAATGGACAAATTCTTAGAAATGCACAACCTTCCAAGACTGAACCACGAAGAAATAGAAAATATGAACAGACCAATCACAAGCACTGAAATTGAAACTATGATTAAAAATCTTCCAACAAACAAAAGCCCAGTACCGGATGGCTTTACAGGTGAATTCTATCAAACATTTAGAGAAGAGCTAACACCTATCCTTCTCAAACTCTTCCAAAATATAGCAGAGGGAGGAACACTCCCAAACTCATTCTACGAGGCCACCATCACTCTGATACCAAAACCAGACAAAGATGTCACAAAGAAAGAGAACTACAGGCCAATATCACTGATGAACATAGATGCAAAATTCCTCAACAAAATACTAGCAAACAGAATCCAACAGCACATTAAAAGGATCATACACTATGATCAAGTGGGATTTATCCCAGGGAAGCAGGATTCTTCAATATATGCAAATCAATCAATGTGATACACCATATTAACAAACTGAAGGAGAAAAACCATATGATCATCTCAATAGATGCAGAGAAAGCTTTTGGCAAAATTCAACACCAATTTATGATAAAAACCCTCCAGATAGTAGGCATAGAGGGAACTTTCATCAACATAATAAAGGCTATATATGACAAACCCACAGCCAACATTGTCCTCAATGGTGAAAAACTGAAACCATTTCCACTAAGTTCAGGAACAAAACAAGGTTGCCCACTCTCACCACTGTTATTCAACATAGCTTTGGAAGTTTCAGCCACAGCAATCAGAGAAGAAAAAGAAATTAAAGGAATCCATATTGGAAAAGAAGAAGTAAAGCTGTCACTTTGCAGGTGACATGATACTATACATAGAGAATCCTAAAGATGCTACCAGAAAACTACTAGAGCTAATCAGTGAATGTGGTAAAGTTGCAGGATACAAAATTAATGCACAGAAATCTCTTGCATTTCTATACACTAATGATGAAAAATCTGAAAGAGAAATTAAGAAAACACTCCCATTACCCATTGCAACAAAAAGAATAAAATATCTAGGAATAAACCTACATAAGGAGACAAAAGACCTGTATGCAGAACATTATAAGAAACTGATGAAAGAAATTAAAGATGATACAAATAGTTGGAGAGATATACCATTTTCTTGGATTGGAAGATTCAACTTTGTGAAAATGACTCTACTACCCAAAGCAATCTACAGATTCAATGCAATCCCTATCAAACTACCACTGGCATTTTTCACAGAACTAGAACAAAAAGTTTCACAATTTGTATGCAAACACAAAAGACCCTGAATAGCCAAAGCAATCTTGAGAAAGAAAAATGGAGCTGGAGGAATCAGACTCCCTGACATCAGACTATACTACAAAGCTACAGTAATCAAGACAGTATGGTACTGGCACAGAAACCAAAATACAGATCAGTGGAACAGGATAGAAAACCCAGAAATAAACCCACGCACATATGGTCACCTTATCTTTGATAAAGGAGGCAAGAATATACAGTGGAGAAAAGACAGCCTCTTCAATAAGTGGTGCTGGGAAAACTGGACAGCTCCATGTAAAAGAATGAAATTAGAACACTCCCTAACATCATACACAAAAATAAACTCAAAATGAATTAAAGACCTAAGTGTAAGGCCAGACACCATCAAACTCTTAGAGGAAAACATAGGCAGAACACTCTATGACATAAATCACAGCAAGATCCTTTCTGACCCACCTCCTAGAGAAATGGAAATAAAAACAAAAATAAACAAATGGGACCTAATGAAACTTAAAAGCTTTTTCACAGCAAAGGAAACCATAAACAAGACAAAAAAACAACCCTCAGAATGGGAGAAAATATTTGTAAATGAAGCAACTGACAAAGGATTAATCTCCAAAATTTACAAGCAGCTCAATACTGAAAAAATAACCCAATCCAAAAATGGGCAGAAGACCTAAATAGACATTTTTCCAAAGAAGATATACAGATTGCCTAACAGACACATGAAAGAATGCTCAACATCATTAATCATTAGCAAAATACAAATCAAAACTACAATGAGATATCATCTCACACCGATCAGAATGGCCATCATCAAAAAATCTACAAACAATAAATGCTGGAGGGGGTGTGGAGAAAAGGGAACCCTCTTGCACTGTTGGTGGGAATGTAAATTGATACAGCCACTATGGAGAACAGTATGGAAGTTCCTTAAGAAACTAAAAATAGAACTGCCGTATGACCCAGCAATCCCACTAGTGGGCATATACCCTGAGAAAACCATAATTCAAAAAGAGTCATGTACCACAATGTTCATTGCAGCTCTATTTACAATAGCCAGGACATGGAAGCAGCCTAAGTGTCCATTGACAGATGAATGGATAAAGAAGATGTGGCATATATGTACAATGGAATATTACTCAGCCATAAAAAGGAATGAAACTGAGTTATTTGTAGTGAGGTGGATGGACCTAGAGTCTGTCATACAGAGTAAGTCAGAAAGAGAAAAACAAATACCATATGCTAACACATATATATGGAATCTTAAAAAAAATGGTCATGGAGAACCTAGGGGCAAGATGGGAATAAAGATGCATACCTACTAGAGAATGGACTTGAGGATATGGGGAGGGGGAAGGGGAAACTGGGACAAAGTGAGAAAGTGACATGGACATATATACACTACCAAACGTAAAATAGCTAGCTAGTGGGAAGCAGCCGCATAGCACAGGGAGATCAGCTCGGTGCTTTGTGACCACCTAGCAGGGTAGGATAGGGAGGGTTGGAGGGAGGGAGATGCAAGGGGGAAGAGATATGGGGACACATGTATATGTATAACCAATTCACTTTGTTATAAAGCAGAAATTAACACACCAATGTAAAGCAAGTATACTCCAATAAAGATGTTAAAAAAAATAACAATAAAAAAATAAATAAATTTCTGTTGTTTAAGCCGTGAAAAATAAAAAATACTTTATTGCTAAAAATGCTAACCACCATCTTGGGCCTTCAGCAAATTGTAATATTTCTGCAATAGAAACAGAGATCACTGATCACAGATCACTATAACAAATATAATAATGATGAAAAAGTTTGAAATATCACCAGAATTACCAAAATGTGACATAGAGACAAGAAGTGAGCAAATGCTGTTGGAAAAATGGCACCAGTGGACTTGCTTGATGCAGGGTGGCCGTAAATCTTCAATTTGTTTTAAAAAAAGAAAAAACCACAATATCTGCAAAGTGCAATAAAGTGAAGCACAATAAATGAGGTGTGCCTGTATATACAGTGGAATATTTTTCAGCCACAAAAAAGAATGAAATCTTACACTTGCTACAACATGGATGGACCTTGAGGGCATTATGCTAAGTGAAATAAATCAGAAAGACAGATAATGTGTGATCTCACTTTTACATGGAGGAATCTAAAAGCAACAAACAAACAACAACCCCCCGTCAATTAAAGAAAACAAGCTCATAGGGGCTTCCCTGGTGGCGCAGTGGTTGAGAGTCCGCCTGCCGATGCAGGGGAAACGGGTTCGTGCCCCGGTCCAGGAAGGTCCCACATGCCGTGAAGCGGCTAGGCCTGTGAGCCATGGCCGCTGAGCCTGCGCGTCCGGAGCCTGTGCTCCGCAATGGGAGAGGCCACAACAGTGAGAGGCCCACGTACAGCAAAAAAAAAAGAAAGAAAAGAAAAGAAAACAAGCTCATAGAACAGATTGGTGGTTGCCAGAGGAGGGACGTAGGAGAAATGGGTGAAGGGGGTCAAAGGTACAAACTTAAGTCATGGGGAGTGTAATGTACAGTATGGTGACTACAGTTAATAGTACTATTGAAAGTACTAATAGTACTAATTTGAAAGTTGCTAAGAGAGTAAATCTTAAAAATTATAAGAAAAAAATTTTGGGTGTGGTGACGTATGTTAACTAGACTTATTGTGGTGATCATTTTGCAATATTTACAAATATCAAATCATTATGTTGTACACCTGAAACTAATGTATATCAATTATACCTCAATTTAAAAAAAAGAGAGAAAAGGAGGTTCTTTGGGGTTCATGCTGTAGTTTGGAAATAGATGAGAACATTCTTTTTCCTTATTTTTTTCTTGTGGTTCCTTTTCCCTTCAGAACTCCATTAAGAGATCACTACGTAAACCCAGGAGAAGCAAGCCACCAAAACTTCAGTTTTTCTTTTCCTCTGAGTTTGCTTTGCCTGCTTGAGAAAGCAGAGGCCTGCGCCTCCCAAGCCCTGGCCAGATCTGACTGTGAGCCCAGCCCGTGGCCTTAGGCCGCCAGCACTGCTTTCCAGACCCCGCCACCAGGTCTGCAGCCCGCGTCCATCACTGCCCTCACACACGCTCTCTGCAGCAAAGCTAATAATAAGCTCATCCTGATTTTTCCTCCTACCAATACTTCCTTGATGCAACCTAAGGTTTTCTGTGATCTCAGGTAGTCACCTCTTGATTCCATGACCTAGAAATAAGTCATCCCTGCTTGAGGAAATGAAAAGGTACTTCAGATTAACACAGGTCCAACTCTACCCTGAATTGACAGCCACCCCACCAGCACCAAAAAGTTCCACAAAACCCACTTGTTCCTAATTGTACCATCAAAAGGGAAAAAAGTCCTTAGATGAGAAGTTCCTCAAGAGAATATTCATTTATGCATTTGGTAGTTTCATAACATTGATTTTGTGTGATATCTCCAAGGCATATTTTGACAATATATTAGAATTCTCATTTTCACCCTTTTTGGGTCAGTGGAATTTTATCCATAATTGTTCTTTTTTGTTTTTGTTTTCTTAGACAACTTTAGGGCTACCACTCCCTACCTTGCTTTACCAAATGCTGAAAAACAACAGCAGGAGGACTTGAACTTTAAGCTGTCAACCCCATCTGTCTCATTGCAACTAAACAGATGCTAGTTACTCCTATAGTGTGTTCTCTGGACCAATTACTCCCTTGCCCCAGTGCTGAAATGTTTACAGAATCACTCATTTTACCTCAGAGTTTATGCTTGGTTTTGAATATTTTAAATAATTTAGCACTGTTGAACCCTCTTATAACCCAGCTTCTCAGTGTATTAATGTAAATACTTCCAGGTCAGATTGAGTCCCAACATGACTGCATGGAAGATAGAAGTATTGCTTTAAGGAGGGCTAACATCCTCCCTAAAGGATACTTGTGTTAGGAGGACTTGAATTTTATTGGAAAAAACACATATCTATATATTCAGATGGATAGATACCATAGGTGTAGGAAAAGTGGCTCTGTTCTATTTTTTCTTCTTTGGGAATGATGGGCAGTTTCCATAAACTGGAATTTACTGATCCCATTTACTACGTACCCTTAAAGCCCCCAAAGTTCAAAAACTTATTTTCCAATCATGGAAAAGGCAATAAAAACAAACCAACGTGAGAATGTCCATGACAAAGATGTCCAAGTCCCAAAGCAGGTTTTAGGATGGCTGCCCTGCCAGGTTGTTTTTTTCAGGTTTACTCACCTGCACCTTGGCTTCAGTATCATCCATGTGTCTTGCAAGCTCCTTTCTGAGAGAAGAAAATCACAAATGTTCAGTATTCTGAGATGTGGATGAAATTAAATATATGGATGTTATTTCATTGTTGTTTTAAATTTTCTATCCCCTTCATGCCCCCCACCACAGTACACTTATCTGTAATACCCAGCTCCAGGCTCGCCTTAGCAGGTGGTTTTCCCTTCCACGCAAAATTTAATGGGACACCAAAAAAATCAGTAATCAAGATAAATAATGTTTTAGTGTAGTATTTAACAAATACCAAAATTAGTGCAAAAATAGCCCATGATGAAAATATTACCAAAATTTAAACATAGGTAGAATCTGACCCTGCACTTGCTCCACCGTGCCTCATGCACGGTTCCAACAAAACGTTATTTACAAAACGGGCCTCCGGCCAAAGTTTCCCTACTTGATGGATTTAAATACCGCATGAAAATATTTACCTTGATGCCCGGTAGGTATTGCCCCCACCCCAGAGTCCTGGGGGAGGGGGCCCTGGTGGCCTTGGGCCCTCTAGGTGGCTTTTGGCTCAGACTCCGGAAGAGAGCCAGAGACAACCGAGCCCCCTGGAGAGCTAGGCACCTCCAAGGCTAGCCGCGTACTTGGGGAACACGGCGGGGTATCCAGTGCGGTGTAAAAGGCTCTCCATCCGTAGCTGCAAAGGGGTGAATGTGATGCGGTAGAAGCGCCGCTACCTGTCCCCAGGCTTCCGCCCCTCAGGGACCTGGGGAGGTCAGCTCCTGCTGCTGCTGCTTTGTGGGCTCCTGGCCACCGCCTCCTTGTCCTCCCCCGCCCCAGTTCGGACCACACTGCCTCCTCTTCACCTCCCGCTACCATCCATCGCTGAGATCACGGAGGGCTTCATATCTGAAAAGGGGGAAAGGCAAAGAGAGCGCCTATAGGGAGGCGAAGGGCCGTCACTGAGCCGCAGCAGCGTCCCGTCCACTCGCCTCTCCCAGGGAAAGGGCATTTCCTGGGCTTCGCCAAAGCACCTGTCCGGGTCCGGGCACTGGCCTTGTGGTTCTTCCCGGTCTTCACCGACTCAGGCTATGATAGCCAGTATCATCAAGGCTACTCCACTGCCCCGCCCCCATACGAGCCGAGGCTCCACGTGTTGAGTGCTGTGGATAAAGCTGCGCTGGGATCTGTGGCGATGCCCTCGTCGGGGGGATAGAGCGAGGGCCAGTGGCCAGGTCAGGTCCTCTTTTTGGCGCCTGGTCCCGGTTATAGCGTGTCTGTCGCAGGTGCAGTGCGTACCCGCTCATGGTTAGGTGCCCGCCCCCACCTGGCCTGCAGTGGGTGGGACCCGCTGAGGCGTGCACGAGGCCAGGGAGTGACCGTAGAGGGGTGCCAACTTGAGGCTGGGGAGGGGCATGGGAATGAGACCTCACTCACCCCCGGGGCCCGGGAAAAATGTTGGGAGAACATCTCTCGGCCTGGCCCCTCGATGGGCGCAGGCTCGTTGCCCTTAGTTACCCCGGAGCGAGAGACACAGAGGTGGGGCTGGAGAAAGTGCGCGGGGCCCCAGCAGCCCCAGCCCGGTCACCACCCCTTGTCGTGTGGGCTCTGAGCACGACTCTCCCCCTAACCCCCCGAAAGTCGGTAACTAATGGATGGGACTCTGGTTCTGTTACATTCGCCCGCAAAGTCCACGAATCGGGCTAGTGGTTCATATGAAATGATCAGGGAGCTGCTTGCTCTGGCTCCCTGGGGCGCATTATAGTGGGAGCTTGGGGCTGTGTTTGCAGAGCACTCTGTGTGCTCAGATGCCTGCTGCAAGAAACCCAACCTGTCCCTTGCCGAATGCAACAAGTACTCCAGATTTGTACTAACCCACGTCAGAGTGCAAGTGTAGAACCCTGCCAGTGATCAGTGCTCCCAAGAACGTTTACAGTGGAAGGGGCCCTTCCTTCGACTTTGGACGTAACTGTGGAGCTATGCATCGTCCGCTGGACTCTGCTCCACACCTCTGGCTGCAGGTGCCCTACATAGGCGCATGTTTGCCCTTTACTTGGGCCTGTATTGTAGACCAGGGAGAGTTTCCATCTTCCCCATGCCGCCCTTTTCTCCTGCACCCCATCTCCCACCCCACCCCTCCCCCTCTGTCTCTCCTCTAACTTCCGGAATTCCTTTTTTTTTTTGGTAGCTCTCTCCTCTTTTTTTAAAATTTATTTTATTTTATTTTAACATCTTTATTGGAGTATAATTGCTTTACAATGGTGTGTTAGTTTCTGCTTTATAACAAAGTGAATCAGTTATACATATACATATGTTCCCATATCTCTTCCCTCTTGCGTCTCCCTCCCTCCCACCCTCCCTATCCCACCCCTCTAGGTGGTCACAAAGCACCGAGCTGATCTCCCTGTGCTATGCGGCTGCTTCCCACTAGCTATCTACCTTACGTTTGGCAGTGTATATATGTCCATGCCACTCTCTCGCTTTGTCACAGCTTACCCCTCCCCCTCCACATATCCTCAAGTCCATTCTCTAGTAGGTCTGTGTCTTTATTCCTGTCTTGCCCCTAGGTTCTTCATGACCTTTTTTTTTTCTTAGATTCCATATATATGTGTTAGCATACGGTATTTGTTTTTCTCTTTCTCACCTACTTCACTCTGTATGACTATCTCACTACAAATAACTCAATTTTGTTTCTTTTTATGGCTGAGTGATATTCCATTGTATATATGGGCCACATCTTCTTTATCCATTCATCTGTCGATGGACACTTAGGTTGCTTCCATGTCCTGGCTATTGTAAATAGAGCTGCAATGAACATTGTGGTACATGACTCTTTTTGAATTATGGTTTTCTCAGGGTATATGCCCAGTAGTGGGATTGCTGGGTCGTATGGCAGTTCTATTTTTAGTTTTTTAAGGAACCTCCATACTGTTCTCCATATTGGAATTCTTGTTCCCCACCAAGAAGGGCCAAATGAAAGCCAGGCCAGATTGAGGGTTTTATGGTTCTTCAAGAGGTGTTTACAGGTCCCCAGGGGTGTGTTAATATCCTGAATACTAAGAATAGCTTCTAACCATGGGTCCTGTGCTTGACATTGTACATGACTTATCCTATTTCTACCTTCACAATCATCATTATCATCATCCCCTTTTTAAAAGAAATTACACCAGGGTGGAATGGCTCAACCTCACTCATAGACAAGCCCTGCCCTGCCCTGATGATGAAATGGTTCTACTCACTGCACTTTCAGATGTGGCCCCTCGTCCACCAGTGAGTTGGAACAGAGAAGGAGGAGCTGGTAGACAGAGCCTGGGCTGCTGTGTCAGCCAACCTGCCTCTGAGGGGACAAGGGGATTTGATTAAGCAGCCTCTTAGGTACCTTTACCCTGGAGGACATTAATCATTTTTTGTCATTAATTAATTCCATTTATAAATTCTTTAAATGTCTCATTCTTAATGACACTTTAGTGCAGGTGTGGAGGAGAAGAGGTGACGTGAGATTTGCGCACGCATCACTAATGTGCTCTTTGGAAGCTTGTCTTTGGGAGTAGCGGTTACTTACATCATGGGCAGTAACACTTTGGGATTGAATATTTCTAATAAAACTTTACAGATGACCACACCACACTGCTTTCTATTCACCACTTCAGTCACTTTCTATTTATTTATGTATTCATGAGGGTCTGTAAGAGGGGAGATGGTTATCCTCTGGCGGTTCTCAACGAGGACAGGATGTTTTCCTGTGAAAATAATGTCCCTCCTGCCGCTTTTTGTACCTGTGAGCATCAGTCAGTAAGCCTATGTCAGCTGCTGGTATACAGGGCCCTGTGCCAGGCGATGTGGGGAATGTCACAATGCCTGACCCAACCATCGTGCTGTGGGTTCTCAGTCTCGAGAGGCAGATCGGCCCACACCAGAGAAGGAAGCCACAAATTATGGAGGCAGATCGCCCAGCCCCACCATTTACTCACTCTGTGACCCTGGGCAAGTTGGCTGACCTCCCTCTGTGCCTCAATTGCCACATCTGTAGAATGGATATCATGATGGTACCTGCCTTACAGTGTTGTGAGGTTTAAATAACGTAATAAAGATAAGCCCCATGGGCTTCCCTGGTGGCGCAGTGGTTGAGAGTCCGCCTGCCGATGCAGGGGACACGGGTTCGTGCCCCGGTCCGGGAAGGTCCCACATGCCGCAGAGCGGCTGGGACCGTGAGCCATGGCCGCTGAGCCTGAGCGTCCGGAGCCTGTGCTCCGCAACGGGAGAGGCCACAACAGTGAGAGGCCCGCGTACCGTAAAAAAAAAAAAAAAAAAAAAAAGATAAGGCCCATGGTGAGCACTCAATCAACATCATCCGATGCTCAAGTAAAGGGATCAAGAGTGAGGTCAGTCTGTATCCACATCCGCACTGACATGAAGATGTCAGGTGAGGAGTTATTGGGAAGAACACAAGAATATATACATGTAAAACATGTAGAACAGTGCCTGGCACAGTAGGCAAGTACTTGAGCCATGAGAGCTATTGCTATTATATGTATTGTTATTTTCATGTTATTGATGAAAACTACCTCTGATTCAGAGATTCTTACCCAATTCACTAGCTAGGAGTGAGAATTGAGCCTGGATAGAGAGGATGGTTAGGAATTCAATATAGTACAGAGCCCAAGCAGAAAAGACTTGAGCCAAGGCCCTAGGCTGGGAGCAGGCAGGTATGTCCAGGGATCCATAGACTGTGCATGCTGGGAGATTGGAGTATCGTAGGACATGAGGTTGAAAGGGAAGGAATCAAGATGTGGCCGTGCTGTGCAAAACTGGCAGGTATTTATTATATATGTAAGGGGGAACCAGGAGATATTTCCAGCAAAGAAGTTACATAAACCCATGCATATTTTGGGAAAGTAACACAGGCTGCAGGGGGTAGGAAAGGAGATAGGTGGAAGCTAAAGTTAGGAATCAAGTAGGAGTTTGTTGTAATAGTAAGTTGTAAAAGTAAGCCCAAATGAGGGCCTGGCAAGGGGAACTGGACGAAGGGGAGAGTCAGAGCACTCATGGATTTGAAGATGATTAGAGGGAAGAGTGTTGAACAGCTCTGAAGTTTTGAGCAGGATGACTGAAGGACAGTGATACCATTATGCAATTTAGGGAACACTGACTTGTGGTGGTAAACAAATAGTGGGGGTTACACACGTTGAATCTGAGATTCATGTGCAACTCAATGAATGCTTAGAAACATGATCCTGGCATTCAGGAGAGACAGCAGAGATAAAGACATAGATTTGTAAATCATGAGTGTGAAGGGATGATGGTTGAATCCATGAGAGTAGAGGAGATCATAAAGGGATAAAGGGTAAAGTGAGAATTCAAGAGTGCTAAGAACTGGGCTTTGGGCAACAACTACACCTTGAGGAGTGGGGAGAAGAAAAGTCAGCAAACAAGACAGAGAAGGAGCAGTTGGAGAGAGAGGAGAAAATCCCAAAGACTGCAGATTACGGAAACCAAGAGAGGAGAGAAATTCAAGAAAGAGAAAGCAGCCAACTGTGTAAAGAAGTACGAAGAAATAAAGAAGGCTGAGACCTGGATGTGCTGTTTGGTAAGTCCCTACTGAAGTAAAAAAGTGTTTTGTAAGGGAGGAGTCATATTCAAGGGATTGTAGAGAAAATGGGAGGAAGAAAAATAAAATAAGTTGGCAATAAACGTAGAGTACAATTTAAAGGAGTTTGACATCAAAACGAAAGCAAGGGTAATAGATGGTTAGTTAACTGTCACGTACAAATCTTTTTTTTTTCTTTTGAAAAATCAAAGGCTCTTTTGTCAGGCACAGTAATCAAAACACCATGATACTGGCACAAAAACAGACACATAGATCAATGGAACAGAATGGAGAGCCCAGAAATAAACCCACACACCTATGGCCAATTAATATATGACAAAGGAGGCAAGAATATACAATGGAGAAAAGACAGTCTCTTCAACAAGTGATGTTGGGAAAGCTGGACAGCCACATGTAAATCAATGAAATTAGAAAACTCCCTCACACCGTATACAAAAATAAACTCAAAATCGTTTAAAAACCTAAATGTAAAACATGACACCATAAAACTCCTAGAAAAAACCATAGGCGAAACATTCTTTGACATAAATTGTAGTAATATATTCTTAGATCAGTCTCCCAAGGCAAAAGAAATATAAGCAAAAATAAACAAATGGGACCTAATCAAACTTAAAAGCTTATGCACAGCAATGGAAACCATCAACAAAACAAAAAGACAACCTACTGAATGGGAGAAAATATTTTCAAACAATGCAACCAACAAGGGGTTAATATCCAAAATATACAAACAGCCAAGACATGGAAACAACCCAAGCGCCCATCAACAGATGATTGGCTTAAAAGGATGTGATATATATATATATATATATATATATATATATGTGTGTGTGTGTGTATATATATGAATATTACTCAGCCATAAAATAGAATGAAATATTGTCATTTGCAGCAACATGGATGGACCTAGAGAATATTATGCTTAGTGAAATAAGTCAGACAGAAAAAGACAAATACTGCATGATATCACTTGTGTGGAATCTAAAAAATAATACAAATGAATCTATATACAAAACAAAAACAGACTCAACAGACATAGAAAACAAACGTACGGTTACCAAAGCGGAGAGGGAGAGGGTGAAGGACAAATTAGGAATATGGGATTAACAGATACACTCTACTATACATAAAATAGATAAGCAACAAGGGTTTACTGTATAGCACAGGGAATTATATCCAATACCTTGTAATATAGTAACCTATAATAGAATATAATCTGAAAACAAAAAACTGAATCACTATGCTGCACACCTAAATCTAACACAATATTGTAAATCAACCATACTTCAGTTTTAAAAATTCTCGGGCTTCCCTGGCGGTCCAGTGGTTAAGACTCCGCACTTCCAATGCAGGGGGCGTGGGTTCAATCCCTGGTTGGGGAAATAAGATCCCACATGCCGCACAGCGCGGCCAAAAAACAAAGAAACCATTCTTTTGTCATGTCTGTAATCCTGTATCTGACTTTCAAATTTGGGTATAAAATAAGATTCACCTAAACACAGTTATAGGGTTTGATCAGA